TCAATGGCGTACGTCTGCGACAGGTTCTGGCAGCCATCTGCAGTCATACTCCACAAGCCTGGATGGTCGACACCGGCTGACGGATCGATCGGAGGCCACATGGAAATGTGGATTGCCTCGCCCTGCGAGATGCTGTGATATTTCAAGAGTGGCTGTGTGTGCTCCCAGCAGGCGAAGCATCCAACCTTGATCTTACCGTGCTCAGCCCCAAAATCGACTTCCACCACATTGTTCAGGTCGGCTCCTGAGCCGTCGCCAAAAAGCGTGCGTTCCATGTGCGTGGGCTTGATCTTTCGTCGGTGCATTACTACTTCTCCCTGGGGAGATATGATGGCTTGAGAGATGTAGATGCTGTGGGACGGGCTCTGTTCGGAGAAGCCGAGGGCGACAGCAATTGAGTGTTCCTTGGCAGTAGCCTTGACCAACTCCATTGCCTCGGACTCTATTGGAAGAGAGTTGTAAATGTATCGAGTCTGAAGCTCAAAATCGACCGGCCGGGCCCTTGGCAAGCACAAATGTCAGAAGAAGCAATCACATACAGGGTGACGAATAGTTGCAGGGCATATGACAAACAAGGCTACTTACCAGATCCACGCAGGATATCCCGGAAGCCAGCACTCGGAAAAGGCGACAAGCTTAGCCCCATTCTGTGCCGCTTCAGCGATGAGTCCGCAAGCCTTCTTGACCGAAGCTGCCAGGTCAAGATACACAGGCTCAGCCTGGGTAACGGCAACTCGAATAGGACAAGCCATGGTTCCAAGGAAGTATAATCACTATGCTCAAAAAAGAAACAGTAGAGGCGCGGGTCTGTCAATTCCCGTGCTGCGGTGAGACTAACAGATGGACGGACCATCATCTAAATAGAGCATATTTCGCACCGCATTCCACAACGAGAAGTCGCGTATCTACAGAAATCATACGATGGGAGAAACGTTTCAGAGCATTGAACGCTTCAGGATGGCCCACATCGCGCCTATCAACGGTCGAAAGCCCCGGCTCCGGAGACCAGGGGAGACATCCGTCAGTTCGAGAAGAGCGGAAGAACCCAGGAACAAAGTCCCAAGTCTGACCTGGGCTTATGTCAGAGTTGCTTGGTATGGGCTGACCGCACCTGTTTTACACGCATAGCCGCGGTATCAAGCCTAATAGAACTGTCAGACGGCGCTTATGTAGGGCATATTTCTCGGAAAAGAGTGCTTACGCCTTGATGAGACACTCTAAATAAGAATATCGCCGCGCCCGACCTTTATGGCTCGTCTGGTTCTTGACCTCTACCAACACCTGCCACCGTTACCACCTAACAGATACAGACACGATAACCTGCTGATTCAACTTCCGGTACGTTTCACAGCGTTACAGTATCAAGTTATCATCTACACCGACGGTATGTCCGAGGATCTTTTCAGACCTATCACTCACATGTGACGAGGACACTGCATTCGTCCACCAGTCGGGTTACATCAAGCAGGCCACGATGTGAATGTCTGTTGGTTCTAGAGAGTATGATATTTCCCTCATGCATCATAGTAAACCTTATTTCTATACGAAGGATCCTGACCTTGCTGCATCCATGTTCGACTGAAACACTTGCGGTCTGCTTCAACCAACACGCCAAGTTTCCAGGGATCTTACGGTGAAATATGGGGCCAAAATCCGAGCATGGGAAGGCACTTGCGGAGGACCTTTTGGCTGACGTATTCGTAAATACGTGCGAATATTCAAGGTTTGAGAGGATGTCATTTTGTAGTTCTACAAGTTGGGCGCATGCGTAGCAAGGTTTCATCTACACTTGTCACCATAGTCGTAGACTAATGGGTATTTAGATACAAGGTTGGTGGGAAAGAATAATGAATAAAAGAGGATAAAAAGAAATCTTGTAGAAACAAAGACGATATTTTCCATCATTAGTCTGTCGAGCGTACGCCTCACGGGCTTGGCTTTTCACCTTGTGCCCCATTTGCTTGTGCTTACTCAATGCCAAAACTGCTTCTCTTACTCGCTTCTGGCTATGATTGAACGAAATGAAATTCCTGGACTGGGACACGAAATCTTGAAGTCAAACAGGAGCACACCCAATGGATCGCAGCTCCTCTCACCATACGAAACTCAATAGTAGAGCTCGGTGAAAGGTAAACAGTTGCCACACAACCCATCTACGCCTTTAATTCTTCTACTACCAAGTACGATTATAATGGGCCTGGCGGTTTGTGAGTTATTCGTGGCAGGGATTTCGTTGTGGATGCCACCCATTAGCAGGAAACGACTTCCACCTCGTGGCCGGCTTGGTCCGAGACACAAGAGAATAGGACCATATTAAGTATTTCATCCAATGGCAGCATTGTTGTCGTTACACAAAGCAGGCCTCATGATTACGTGAGCTAAGACAACTTTATGCTTCTTCAAGTTGTCCGTCAGTGCTCAGTTACATTGGCCCCCGCTCCCCCTCTTCCTTTCACATCTCACTCAATACATATATCGCTCACCAAGACAAGACACTTTGTACCAGAGGTCATTGCTACCATCTGCTTGGCTTCTTCGCTACGTAGAGTTCGTCCTGCATACTATGACAACATGATTAAGGCCTGGCCTGGTGATAAACGATAAAGTGCATCAGGAGACGACTATTTCTGCGTTGCGATTGTGGTTAGTTTGATTCTTCATTACTCTCATTACATCATTGTCCAAGAGCCATCCTTGCTAACTACTGCTTCAGCTTTGCCTCAAGCATGACTGTTCGTCCATAAGCAGACGGGTAGATCTTGACGAGCTCCAGGCCAGCAGCCTCAAAAATCTGTTCGAAATCGGCCTTCTTCTTCTCCTGTCCGGTCATGCACAGGAGAGCAAAGTCAAGCCAGTACAGATCCATGTTCTCGTGGTCTTCGACCATGTCCGGGACCAGCATGTCGCAGATAATGAGACGCGAGTCGGGGCCCATAGCCGAGGCCGTGTTCTTGACAAACTCGGTGCAGACTGGGGTATAGAAGTCATGGAGGAAGCGGCGCATGAAGTAGATGTGGGCGTCTGCAGAAAACAGTCAGCAGGGAGTCTTCACCAGAGGCATGGTCATATCTTGAAGTAAGACAAGGTACGTACTCTTAACAGGCTGCGGCGTAAAAGCGTCATAGGTCATGAGCTCGAAGCCAGGATATTCCTCAGGCTTCAGGTTGTCAATAACACCAGGCAGATCCTGTAGGATAAACTTGGCGTCAAAGGCACCATCGATCTGCTTCTTGACAGCGAAGCACGACTGGCCACGGCCGGCACCGATGTCGACGAGGTATGGGCGCTCCGTATCCTTCTCGACCTCCTCCTTAAGGGACGCAAAGGGGAACATTCCAGTGACGGGCATCAGTTGATCAACCATGAACATGTTGGCGTTCCAGACCTCGCGGCGCTCCGGGTCAGGGTCAATCTCGAGCAGTTCGTAATACGACTTTCCGAGATGCTCCTTTCCGACCGAATACACGGCAGGGGACTTGGTCAGGTCAAAGACATCATCGGGCTTATGTGACTTGAGGTACTCGGGGAGATGAATCCAGGCACGGGTGAACTCCAAAGTGATCATGAAGAATGAACCGAGAGCCTTGGGGTTGAGGGCACGAGAGAGGTCATTATGGGCATAAGTATCTGGGGCCGTCTCCTTGAATAGCCCGTGGTTGACGGCGACACGGTAGGTGCGGTGGATAACCGTGGGGGCGACGTTGGTGATCCGGGCCAGCTCCTCGGCGGTGATGGAGCTACCATCCTCAGGCATAGCGTGGTAAGCACGGATACCCAGGATGGTGTGAAAAGCACCTCCCAAACTGAGGTCCTCGAACATTCGAGTCACCAGATCGATTGGCTCCTGGAAGGCATTGCGGACGCGTTCAGTCTGCTTGATGATGGCCACATGGTTGATCGGGTTGTCCTCGTACGACTCCAAATCGGCAACAAGCTTCCGAGCCTCCTCAAGGGCCTTGCTCACTTTGGGATTAGCCATTGCGGATGAGCGACTTTGACGTGCCGCTGCGGTTCAAGCACGGGGATGCTGATGGGGATAGGGGGTGGAGAAATAGTATGGAATAAGGTTTGTACAACAACAGCAAAGAGTATGTACGAGCAACAAATGGACGACCCTAAAAGGTAGATACGCCAGAGAGCGGTGGGCGGAGAGGAGGTGGAGGGATTCCCACTATCTCAAAACATGGCGGCATGCTGTAATTGAGAATATTTAACAAGCGGGTGCAAGAGGCGGGGTTCCACGGAAAGGTTGGAAGCGACACACCAGGGAATGGGTCGATAGCGGCAGAGGTGGACGGTATCCTGCCAGGTACATCGTAGCGAGGCCAATCAGACGAGATGGAGAGTTTCCTGGCGTGTGGAAATCTGGCCATGCCAAGCCACGAACACCGAGCGTCTGGGAACTTAGGCATCACGAGAAGATCCTGACCCGACTGCCCGGTTCCAGGAATTTGGGATTCGACACCTGGTCATCTTCAAGTGCCTCAATGTAGAGAAACCAAAACACCAACAAGCCACCACTGTAGGGCTGCTCTCATGCACTCCGAGATCCAGACTCTCAGCGGCCCGTCGCGAGCTTACCGGGCCCGGTTTAGCGGGACGGCCGGACCGGAGCGCAGGCCCGAGTCCGAGCACGAGCAGGAGGGGTCCCCAGTGGTTCCCAGTGGAGGGAGTGGCTGGCACCTTCCAAAGCTGGAGGCGAAATGCAAGTATCAGGAATCCCTCTATCACGAAAATATCGGCTTACCAGTATATTCTCCGCTGGCACCCCTGATCTTCGCTTGGCTCCGAATGTCCCGCCTTTCTCCGTCGACAAACGCCGCCATTTTCACTCTCGCAACCAACAATAGAGAGCAAGCGCGCATCCGCTTCTATCTAAAACTCTTTTCTGGTACATATCTTGGCGTCTTTTGCTCCTGATCGACAGTTTCAGACGCGGAACCCGTCACATCGGCAGCGCGTCACGCACCCCTGCCCCCTGGGCCTGGCCCACAATCACAATGTCTTCACCAGTTTCTCGTGAGGATGATGACTCGTTCATCCAACCTGATAGTGTATGTTCCTCCCTTGACTATAACAGCGACGTGCAACATGGACCTGAACCGATTTTCGGGTTCAGTTGATCAATATGGTCCTGAAACAGGGCCTATAACAGGGGCAATAACAGCTGCTAACCATGAGTCTTATAGGACCAACGGAGCGTTGATGATGATGAGGTCAGTACCCTGGCAAACCTTATACCCCATGTCACCCTCAATAGCATTGGTTATCGTGGGTGCTTAGAGCTTCCATTTTTGATGCATCTGTTGGCAAACACCATGCCTACCACGTGGAGCCCCCATACACTACCTGGTCATGGTGCAATCCCCACCTGCAATGGAACGGCCCGCTAACCAACACTCACCTTATCTAGGTTCACGATGATCAGAGCGATAGATCCTCTTTGACGTCTTTGACATCATCTGTATTGAACGGAACTGTTGAAGGAGGTAGAACCTATGCCGTCTATGGCAAAGAAGGTCAGCGCTCAACCACCGACTCTGCTGGGCATTTCCAGTCAAGCGGTGTGGGAAATCATGCTGACTGCGTTTACGCCTTTAGAATATGGACTCCCTATGGACGAGGCGGAGCTTGACCGCATCGACATGTGTCACACCAAGTACTGCGCCCTGATTGGAAAGAAACGCCACTTAGCGCCCATCACCAATCCCCAAAAGATCCTAGATCTTGGCTGCGGAACAGGTCCGTCCTATCCTGGTTGGGAATCAAGCTGAAGGCCAAACTGACGGGAAATAGGAATCTGGTCTATTGAAATGGCTGAGGAATACCCTGCCGCTGAGGTGAGATATCATTTCTGTCTATTTATTCACGTCCATACATGCTTACCAGGCTAGGTCATTGGTACTGATGTCGCCCCAACGCAACCCGAGTGGTATGGATAAATCAACATGGTGATCATCAACAGGCATAGTAGCTGACTGACCCTCAGGGTACCCCCAAACTGCCGCTTTGAGCTTGACGATATCGAGAGAGAATGGACATGGAAGGAAGACAGCTTTGACTTTGTTTTTGCACGAGACTTACTGCTGGCTATTCGAGACTGGCCGGGGCTCATCGACCAAGCATACACGTGCGTCAAACTTTATAATCCTACCCGTTTTCATGCTGCTAACGTGCATCTTCAGCCACTTGAAGCCTGGAGGCTGGGTTGAGTTCCAGGCCATTGTCGGTCTACTCGGCAGCGACGATGACTCGATCCCCGAGGACAGCTACCTACGCAAATTCTCAGGCATGATGGAGACAGCTTCCTCCAAATTCGGCGCAAGTCTTACCGATCCCATGAAGTGGAAGGGTTGGCTCGAGGAGCGAGGCTATGTGAACGTAACCGAAAAGGTTTTCAAGCTGCCATTCAACCCGTGGCCCAAGGACCCACGAATGAAGATTCTTGGCGCCTGGGAGATGGAGAACCTCCTTAGCGGGCTCGAAGCCATGGTGACGAGGATGTTTCAAAAAGGCCTTGGCTGGTCCGACGCCGAAGTGACTGTGTTCCTCGCATTTTTGAGGAAGGAGATCAAGAACCCGAGAATGCACGGATATTGGCCCTAGTAAGTAAACCCAACAAGCTTTCTTGTGTGGATTCTTTAAGGTTACTGACATATTTCCAGCTACGTGGTCTACGCACAAAGACCAAAGGACGATTGATTGCAGCTATAGGGAATTTGATATTATTTACCCGCCTATTCACCCGTACATTATGGACTCGGTCTCCTTACGACTTTTATTGGATACTTCTCTAATAGCCTCTCCGTCGGACACTCCAACATCACAGGGGTCTTGGATAATCCCCTAACGGCCTGTAACTAGCATAAAATCAACAAATTGCGAACATGCCAGCCTTTGAATAAAGCAATCAGAATTCAGTCAACTGCTCTTTGTTCTTGATGTCACCCATGACTGTCCTGATCAACGATACAATGAGACAACATACCAAACGTTTTATCTCTACCACCAGAGGCAATGAGTGGCGAGACGCTCCTCATAATGTCCATATTGGGTGCAACAAAGGTGTGGGCGGGTCCAGTGTTTTGGATACAGTGAAGGAATATTGCATTTAATATGTGATTGATTGATTTCGCCTTGGCAGGACGGGTGCTATCTTGTAAGGGTAATCATCAGGAGCACAAACAATGTTGCCCCTTTGTACGATGCACTCTGCGCGGGTATACTAAGACGGTATATGCACATCAACTGGTGTAATACAGCGTAAAAGTACGCTACGAGATGAAGTTGACAAGACAAATTGTATTTTGCCCGGTTGTCCAGCGCTTGCACAGGATATCATGTTAACAAGACCACAAACACCGTTCCCACCAATAATCGTATACACACTTCCAAGATCCAACGACTTGAGAAACTCCTACAAAAGATACACTTCCGCTCACAGAGCCAGGACGGCACCTGCAGCACCAACAGCAGCAGCGACAACACCAACCATGCCAGTAGGTCGGGGAGCAGCAGCGTTACCACTACCACCGACAGTGACATACTCCAAAGAGGCAGTCCTTGTGGTGCTGGCATCGGTAAAGACCATGCTACCCTTGCCGCCGGAGCATTCGGGGACAAAGCCGTCCACCTGGGGGTTGACGGTGCTGCACTCCTTGGCAATCTCCTCTGCATCATCGTTGACACTAACGAGGTAGTCTCCAACCTTTGTAAGATAAGTCTCCAAGGGTTTGGACAGCGAGGCGGCGATGGTGAGCTTGCAAGGGTCGGCGGTGGGGACATCGTTCAGGAACCAGTCGAGGAGGTCACCCGTGGGTGTCGGCATGTCCTGTAGGAGGTCGAGGACGGAGCTGGCACACTCGTCGTCGTCCTTGGCGCGGACAAACAGGTCTTGGGCGCTGCGCTTGTGAGGCGTGAAGCCCATGGCCGGGGCTCGGACGTTGAGGGTCTGAAAGACGTGGACGACTTCGACGTGCTTGACCTCTGCGAGGGCCGTAGAAGCCATAACGGCTAGGAGGGAGAGGAATTTGGGCTGCATGTTTTCTTTTTTTTCCTTTTTGTTTGGAGGTTGAGTTGGTGAAGAGAAGAAAGGCGGATGACAGAAAACATTAAAATTGAGACTCTGAGGCCTTCTTATAACAACCGCAGGATCAGATCGTCAAGTTGGACCAACAAGCAAAGACAAGGTCTAAGCCAACGGTTTATCCGCAGTCATTAACAGGGGGGGAGATTGTCCAATGATAAAGGCGCTTAGCGCTTGGTAGGATTTATCTTACTGGGGCCGTTGTCAGTGCAGGTGCAGCATGTAAGGGCACCCTTGTCCTTGAAGGAGGGCGAAGTCTGTTGGTGTATGGCTGAAACAATTTCTGTAGTTTCAGTGCGTCCGCATGAGTGATCCTCCGATGGATTTGAGCTGGAGATTTGCTGGCAGAGAAGCCTAATAATAGCCATCACCAAGGGACCTCATTTTGACAGAACAAAGTTGACAGCCTTTATCTCATCATCTGAGATCGGGTACTGCCTAAACCAGTAGGTGACCCATTTTCACCGATACCTCTGATCTCGTTTCCTTCAACCACGCGAAAGATCCTTGAACAAATAGGCAGAACCTCGTTTGTCTGCCATTCCTTGTCTATGCATGAGTCATACGGTTATTTCTTGTTCCTTCATTCAAAAGCACGGCTTCATCCAACAACCAACACTTCTCGCATCCCGACCAGCAACAGTCAATCCCTGCACAGCCCGCCTTCGTCTAGCTGCCTTCCAATTTGCGGAGCGGATCCCACAGCCCGTTTCATCTGATCCGGAGAGGCCTGGCCAGGCCACAAATTCCTCTGGGGACATCTCCACCAAAAAAGAAGAGTCGAGACTCAAAAGATATTTGCTGCCCTTGATGGGCTCCGATGCGTAATCTGGGAATCGAACCCAGGGCTCCCCGACGTTACTCGAATGGCAACGGAGAATTTTACCACTAAACCAATTACGCTTGATGTTGTTGATGTCTCGAAGCTCGGATATTGCGAGTCAAGATCGTAGCTATGGTGCTGGGAAAGCCAGGATCGCTCTTTGACTACCATCATCATAAAAAACGGGTTTGTCTAAATATTTCAATGAACTTAAAGTAAACTCTAGTCTAAGGCCTATCTAAGGCGTGAGCTTAATTTGAGGGGCGCAACTCGTGTCCAACACCACATCTGGCTGGACCGCAATCCAGCTTGTTTGTCCACCCAGAACAATGAAAACGGGTAGAAGATTTCACTCTTTGATGGCAGCTAATATTCATGTGCGAGTGCGTACCTTTGCATAGTCTCTCACGTAGTCCTAGATCAAATACAACTGTCTTCCCTCTCTGACTCTCCTTCTTCAACATCTCAGCCGGCCGCCTCTACCTACTTCGCCTCCCTCCCTCCCTTAGGTCTAGCCTCCTCCCTCTCAAAGATGGACAATTCTCCCACAGAATTGTCAGACCTCGTCAGCCCAGTTTTCTCCTTCTCCCAAGAGTCCCGGACCTTGTCTGCCCACAGCTGTCATTCAAGCCAAAGTAGCAACTCTGTCCTGACCCGCTGGTCATCTCCAGTGCTCTCTAACGACAAGCCTCTCGAGAAGGGTGGCAGCTCAGACGAGCATGAGACATTCTCTGAATACGCCGATGATCGATATCCTTTGCTTTGGTACGGTGTTCTCCTGCTCGACCCTTTTACGGCCTACCTGAGAGTCCCTAATACTGTTTCTCGTCTTCTCGCCGATTTGGGGAGTAGACATGTGGGAAGTCATCCACCATCGAGACGAAGCATTCGGGATAGCAATGAATTACACATGCTTTGGGAGCATTCGACGCGTGAAGATATCCGCCTTTACTTTCAAGGGTCAGGCATCTCCCTGTTCCCAGGGGAACAGCTCCTACTGCATAGCGTTAGCGGTGAGCTCATCTATCATCACTTGATGCGCCGTATGGATAGCCGATTCTCAATCCAAGCCCCAGCACCAGACGTCATGTACGGATATCGAGAAGCTGCGCTCCATCGTCCAAATGGTATACCGAGCTGGGTCATCGACGACGGAAAGGCCACAAAGTCGAACCTGTTCTACCCGTTCTTGACAGTCCAGATGCAAGGTCATGGCTTTGGATCTGACGGATGTATGCACAAGGCAACCAACGAGTGCATGATTGCCTCGTCTATCTGCGTCAGAATGCTCGACAGACTCAACCAGCGCCTTGCCGTCCGTCAGCGAGGCGACACCTCTACAATGATAAACAGCGCCGCCTTTAGCATCGCCATGAACGGCGCAGTTGCACGCATCTACGTCACTTTTGCGTTTGATGAGACGAGAGACCACGTCTACAAGGTCGACAGCTTTGTCCTCGAGGATCCATCGCATTACAGGAAATTCCATCGGTACATCCAGAGTATCATTGACTGGGGGAAGAATGAGCGACTTTGGGAGATTCGAGATGCCATAGGGGTTATTGAAAGTAGTGGCCCTCGATGGTATCCAAGATACGAGTTATAGCAGACAGGAGACGGATTAGATTTGTACTTGAGGGAGGAATGTCGTTGATACTCCTCACAGCTTGAGGCCTAGATATAGGACTATAATGTAACTAGGACTACCATTTGGCGCAGAATTAGATAGGAAGAAATAGGAGGTCACTTCTTTTGAATTTTCAAGAGATACCATCAGGGCCTTCGGGACATACCTTGCTATTAGCAACTCTGTGATGATTACTACATTTCTTCTCAGATCATCAACTACCTATTGAGACAACTATTTGTCGATGGAAGGCCGTGCCGCTGGTAGCATTTTGTCTCGACAGAGCCTGGTCGTCTTTTCTCGTCCGCTCTTTGTTTCGTATAGCCAAGCCTATCAGCATGATTGCTGCCATAGAAACAAACATAGGGGGGTCACCCCGCTAAGCCATAGTTTGCAGCAGATATGAGAGTGAATATGGATGCTTCATCCACCCTCTGTCGCCTTCGCTTTGACCAGCACTAGCCTCCTAGGTGAATGATGACCAGGCAAGTATACAAACACTCGACTTTTCCACAACTCACCCCATCCCATAAACCTTCACACCTACACATCATCCCCAACACAACACCCGCACCTGGCTTTTCACATCCTCCACAAAGGAAAGACAGGTCATGTTCAGGTCGCAGAGCAGTGACTCTTGGGGCACCCGTGGCAACAAGCAGGATCACATGCAGCTCAAGCGAGACGGGTCAGCCAGTGACTCTGAGAGCTACCTTCGCATGATCCGCTACGAGGAGAGTCGCACTGACGACAATGAAACTCAACTGTCTCATTCAGACGCTCAGCAGCCCCAGCATCATGGCAACCACCCGGGTGGCATGATTACCCAGAGACACGGCGCCTCGGGACTCCACGATGACCGTCATCTCCTTCGCATGCACAACATTTGGTACCTCTCTCCCCTTCAAGCCGCCAACCAGGTATCCCCAGTCGTCAAATACATCTACGAGTGGGTGATGAGCCAGGCCAGAGATCTTCCTGGCATCACCCCAGAGAGAATCAACGGTGATGCCCTCTTACACAACCTGGAGGAGTCTGGTTCATCCACTCGGATCAAAGAGTACTTCAAAGCACTCTTCACCCCTCCGCCAAGCAGCCGCGTTCAGGGCGTCAGAGACCAAACCATGTGCTATGGCGTCGTCCCTCACCGAGAGAGCATCGAAGGTCCTCGACCCCCAACTCCTGCCATGCTGTATGGCTACAGCCTCGACATATTCTCCGATGCCGAGAAGCAGCAACAGACCCTTTTCGAAGCAGAAGCCACCCGGGCCTGCCTCTACCCTTTCTTCACGATTGAAGTTCAGGGCGACGGACCGACTTCGACGGGCTCCCTTTGGGCAGCTACCAACACGTGCCTCGCCAGCTCAGCCGGCTGCGTTGCCCTCTTCAACAAGCTCGAGCGCCGAGTTCATCAAGTCACTGGTCCGTTCTCTCCCGAGCTCAACAACGTCGCCTTCAGCATCGCCATGAACGGCACCGAGGCCCGACTCTTTGTCACCTACCGCATGGACGAAGGCATGTACGGCATGTACAAGGCAAAGAGTTTCCTACTCCAGGATCCGGATCACCACATCATGTTCCACAAATGTGTCCTGAATATCATAGAATGGGGACAGCAGCGACTCGTCAAGATCCGGGATGCTCTGCGATACCTGCGAGCAAACGACCCGAACGAGGCCATGAGGACCAAGACCAACTTCCGGTACGCCGACCTTGGTGAGATCTGAGAAGCTGATCAGGCATCTTGTGATTTTCTTTTCTTTGTATTCAATGAATAAGCCTCCTGTGGTCTCGCTTGGTTGTATCTATGAGGATTACAGACCTCCTTGTTAGAGGCCAGACAGGATGAGAGCAGAGCTTGGGCCGAAACGGATGTACCACTTGCAGGACGACAAAAATTAGTAGCTAGCTCAGTCCGCAACAAGGAGTTTTTAAATTTGACTGCCTGTCGTGATTTTTTTATTCCAGCCCACTATTTCACGTGTTTAAACGTCAAAGCCTCCATCGTGAAGCATCACCGGCTTCTACAACTCGAAGGCTGGTTGATGCCTACTAATCGACCCACAATAGGTAGGCAGCCAACACTCACTACGCCGCAAATATTTCTACTTAATCACAATCGAGCGGCAAACTACACCTTCGCAAGAGCATGCGACAATGGGGACCAATCAGCCTGGCCTCCTCGGCCTCTCAACTGAACTCCTCTTTCACATCATCAACTACGTCCATCCATCATCGCATCTCTCACTCGCCCTCACATGCTCCAAACTCCACCGCCACTCCCAACCAATTCTTGATCGCCACCGCGCTGCCCACAGCATCGTGTCCGACCTACAGCCTGAGAGTGTGCTCGAGCTTCTGAGGGGTGCTGATCCATGCAGTGTCGAGCTCTGGCATGTGCGGGAGCTGGAGCTCTGGGGTAATCGGAGTAGCTTGGAGGAATGGCGACCATGGGACGTGGGTATGACGGGTACGGTACGACTCACCGACGCAGAGCCTATCGAATCAAATCTGAAAAGAGAAGAAATTATGGGCTTCTTCTCAATGGCGAAGCAATGGTGGGATATACCCGAAGATGAATTCGACGCTGCGAGGAACGAGCTTGAGGCTGGCGGGGACGGTTTCCTCAAGATGCTCATGATCGCCTCATGTCCCAGACTGCACAGCATCAGATTCGCCAAGGAGAAAGAAGATTACATGCATAAAAGTCTCCATTGGATGGCAAAGGCCGTATCATGGAGCATGGACAGCGGTAGATGGCCGCCAGGCTTCCAGTCCCTACGCAACATTGCCATTGGCGTCTGGACGGGGGTACCGACACCGCCAGAAGAACAAGAAGAGTGGGAGTTGGGCTTCTTTGACTTTGCAGCCGTTCTCAATCTTCCTGCCATTCACAGCGTGTACATCAGAGACCTTTATCCAGAGTGGAAGGACGAGGGCAACGATGATCCGGCTTCCGTGGAGGAGAATTATCGCCTCGATCCCCGCTCGTCAACCATTCAGCACATCTACATCGACCGCGCCCAAGGCCTACAGATATTCTACGATCCCTTTCTGGGCGTCGGTAAGGATCTACAGTCTATGACTCTTCGGGGCCTCGATGATTGGAGCCAATGCGATGACACGGATGCGATCCCCGAGTCCTTGAGCAGAAACCACCCCGACACGTTCCGCAAGATGACCTTTTACAGGCCGACGGGCCTTCATGGATATAGGTGCGGTGTCTACATGCCAGACCAGATACGAGGCCCCTTCCCCGGCATGAGGCAAGTGTCCGTGGGCATATCCGACATCGATCTGCTAGCCATGGCAGAAATTGACTCGAAGCCAACCATTGAAGCGTACGTCGACTATTGGTGTAACGGGTTCCTGCCAAAGAACCTCGAGGTCATCATGATCTGGGGAGAGCCGGGCAACGGCAACGACTGGCTCGACCTGGACGACGATGTTATGATGGACTATACCGACACAGCCATCGCTGCTGTGATCAAAGCTGGCACCTACAAGAACCTCAAGGTCATCTACCTCGACGATATCGAAAGGCAGACAGAAACTCAACGCCCAAGGGTCTGTTTCCAAAAGTCGATCGCCGCGGGGAGGGAGATGGGCGTGCACGTCTACACCCTGACAAATAGGGAAGATGGTGGGTACTGGAGGGAGTTTCCTGTTGCTGCAGACAAATTCGATCTGAAGACGGGGCCATTTGGAGAGAGGCCTACTTCGTGGAGGATCAATCGAAGGGAAGGGGTGTGGGAGGATCCAGGTTGTGAGGGATGTGGAGAGTGTGAAGAGTGCTTGAGGGTATACCCAGAACACGTGTGGAAGAGTGCCGCAGCTTCAGTAGCTGAGGGTCCAGAGAAGATGGATGTGCATGTTGTCCATATTTGAGCAGGTATATAGACCAGGCCAGCGAGATGTCACCAGTATACCTTAGACCTCTCTTTGCAACCATAATCCATAGACATAGCTCCAGTACCCTCCTGTGACGAATATCGCGAATGCACATGTGCGCTCATTAGGAAGTGGCATCTTCTCTTGGGCTTAACCCGTAGTGTACACATTTTTACACCAGGCGGCATCTTCTCAGCTAGCCCTGCGATACCATCTTTTCAATCCCGATCATCTACTCCGCCTCAATCCTAACTTCATGTAAGCATCGTTCTTCAACCAGTAAACAACCTCACCTCATGAAACACAGACCAAGAAACTAGCCTCGTCGCGATCCCCTCAAACCTTTGCCACCTGATGATCCCTCGTCAAACGTACCCTCAAGGCCGCGCGGCGTACTCGTAAACCGGACAAAAAACCACGCGTCAATAGCCAATTGAAGTCATTTCATCCACCATTCTCGTATCCCATCGCCCTCCTCCACCACGTCCCCAACCCCCTCCCCTCCATCTCCTCAGCAAACTCCGCCACAGACTCTGTCTCGTCAAACCCCATAGCCCTCTTGCCCGTATCCTCCACGGGGGCAGGCTTCGCGACGCATCGGAAATCTTTGTATCGTAGTGCCTGGACGCTCGCTACCCACTCGGTCAGCCCCGCCGCGTCGCGGCCTTCGGCGAACATGATGCCTGGCGATCCGCCGCTGCGCACTAGCAGCCAGTCTACATTGAGCTGTTGGGCTGCGCGCCGGACGCGCTGGAGCTTCTTTCGTGACGTGATGTGATGTGTGCGGATTAAACAGTTAAAGAGTCCGGCTGTGCGTGGCATTGTTGAGTTGCAGAGATTAAAGTTACAAGGCTGGAGTTGCGATAAGTGACCGCCGGACTTTTATGAATCCGACTACTATAACCCAACATCACCGCAGAATTCACATACGGCCATCCTCACAGTTCGTTCAACAGCCAAAGAATGGATAAGACGGATTCGAGTCATCAGGAGACCATCCCGACATATGCACATCTAAAAATAATGTTTAACATTCCACCTAACGCCGTTCCTACCATCTTCCACATGTACAATAATCATGGCATCAAAGTGTACCCACACGCTGATCCAACCATCCGCTTCATATTCTGCTTCCAGCATTCGCTATAGTCGTAAGAGGGGTATAATGTCAAGGGGATCCAAATCTCCTCGATGATCCCTACCAACACCGCACACTCCACTCCATCCACCTTAGACACCTCGGAACATGCGCACCACCAAGAACCACATCGCACCGAGGAACTTGAAGGCGCTCAAACCTGCCACACTCCAGAGCACGATGGACATGTAAATGTTTGATCGCTGCTCCTGAATACTCTCCTTGTCCTCCTTGCTGGGGCTGATTCTGTCCAGGCCGGCTGAGCTGAGCACCAGAGCAGCGATAGCAAAGTTGGTCACCATCCAGATCAGGACGACACCAGTACGGACACCCTTGTAGTAGTCCATCTGCTTTTCCTGGAGCTGCGAGGGAGTTGGCTCCTTCTTGACAATCACCTCCTTCTGGGCAAAAACAGCAAGTTCTCGTTGATACTGCGCGTTAAGATCACCCTCATCGGGAAGATCTGTCTTGGCCGTGCCGTCCTTTGTATTGACAGAGGGCAGCTTCTCCACCTTGTCGTCACCCTTGGTACCCCAAGAAACATCGTGTGTGTTGCAAAAGGCGTACACGTTCAGAACGTTGGTAAAGCCTGGCGTCAGGAGCATGTACTGCACGAACGAGGTAGCCATGTGCCAGGGGTCCAGCATGATTATGGAAGCGATCAACCAGATACCCCATGTCGACATGACCGAGATGATGAGCATGTAAAAGACCTTATTCTTGAGAATGTCAGAAACTCGGAACCCGTCCTCGTCGTTCACGTCGGCCATGATAGACTTGACAGAGATGAAGATTGCAGCGAAGAGAAGGTAGCTGGATCATTGTTAGCCTCAGAAAGATCAAAGTTGAAAGGCACACTTACATCATGATGCCGGCCCAGAACCAAACCATGGCAGCATAGAGTCCACCAGACCCTGAAGGTCGGTTACCCAGAGACAGTACAAAGCATGTAATCAAGATGACACCGTAGAGCCAGGTGAAGACAACACCCAGGATCTCGCCGGTACGACCAAGTAAGCTATCGTCTCCCAAACTCGTCGTCAGAATCTTAAAGACCAGGAAGAAGTTACCGATAGCGAACCAGGCGAAGATCATGTTGATAGTGTTGAAGATGAACTCGATGAAGAAGGCAAACTTCCTCAAGAAGGTGTGATCAGACCGGAGGAAGTCGAGGAAGTGGACACTGGCATAGATGGCAGCGAAGAATGAACCGTTGAGCCAACGACGACGCTGAAGAACCAGCTCAGTAATCGTGTCTGGCACATCAGTCTCACCGGTAGCCGACTTGACGTATTGCAAGATCCAGTGGCAGTTTCTCTTGGTGACCAGCTCGAAGCAGAGAATTCGATCTTCGGCCAGATACATGTTGGACTCGAAAAGACCAGCGTCACTACCACCGTGAAGCGTCTCACCGAGGAAGTACTTCTCCAAGGGACCCTGGCCGTTCTTGTCGTTCTGGAGTGCGACGTATCGGTAGGCGGAAAAGGCACCGGGCAGCACAGAAATGAATCCAAAGGCGGATTCCAAAGGCTTGTCCAAGATGTTACTCATCTTGTACTCAAAGTTCTGCGCAGCAACCAGAGGGTTCAGGAGGTATTTTCCTCCCTTGCCCAACATGGCCTTGATTTCACCACAAGCACCACCGCACATGGGCTCCAGGTCGAAGGCCTTCCAGAGATGGTAGATCGAGCTACCACCGGGTCGGGTACCAGCATCGAGGAGGACGCAAATGTTGGGGTTAAGGACGTTGCCAAATGCCGTAAAGAACCATCGATGAGAGTTGATCTTCTTGGCGTTCTTCTCCTTCAGACAGAAGAGGATCTGAACTGGTTGGCGACCGTGCACAAGCTGGACCACATCGTTCTTGATCGCAAGATGTGTCTGCGTAGTGTACTCGTAAATATGAGCTTCCACGTCCTTTCCGTTGACTTGTTGCTTGGCGATACCCTCCTGGTACACACCCATACCCGCCAAAAGAGCCTTTGTCCTGTTGTTGATCTTAGCTCGGCCATCGCTGACCACGCAAACAACAATCTTCTTCCAGGCATCTTGGCCCCAAGTCTTGCTGTTGGGTCGGTTGCACATGTACTCAATGTTCTTGAAGACACCCGACATGGTTCGCGCAAAGAGAATGTCGTCTTCGTTATACATGGTGACAACGATAAACAACTCGGTGTGTCGAGGCTTGCTGAACAGTTTTTGTCGGAGAGTGAAGTCATTGTCGAAGAAATCGTTAGGATCGCACGTTGCGGCCGAGTATCGCATGTGTGTGAACTCATCACGTTCGCCGTGGTTAACCTGCGAAAGGAGAACGGGAGGAACAGGGCAATCAAGCACCAGGTTTCCTCGGTAGAGCTTGACCTGCTTCACAGTCTTCCATCGCTTGATTCCACCCTGCTGAGGCTGGTCCTGGTATGGCTCGCTAGGCGCATCCGAGTCTTGGTGCTGCAGCATAGGTCGGTCGGCCGGGTCATCATAGGCTTGGTCGTACCGCTGATCGTAACCTTGATCATACGTATCGTAGCCTTGAGGGCGAGGCTCGTAGGGCTGGTTTCCGTACGCATCGTGGTGGTCTTGCGGGTTGACGGCGTAGTCGCCGCCGTGGCCATACCCAGACAAGTTATCGACGGATTGCTACAAACAGCGTCAGTGTATCTGCTCCAGCAAACCCCACGCGAAAGACCCAACACAAGCACTTACCGCAGCATTCAGGTCGAGTCGGTCGCTGGGAGTCCCTAGTCTGTTTGGGTCGGGGCCCGAGGGCATGTTCAGATGAGGCTGCGAGTGACCATACTGATTGTAACGATTGTCGTCAAAGGGATTCTCTTCCATCTGGTAACCGTGCTGGGCCATATACTGCTGCTGCCCTGGCGACGGCGTCCGATGTGGCTGCTGCTGCTGCTGCGCGCCATAGCGCTGATCCATCTCGTTATTGTAGTAGTCGTCGTCTGCGCGAATTCAAGGTTAGAATATAGGTATCGATACTGGACAGAGTGTCTAAAGGCGCAGAGGTAATGTTTCGCTCGGAGCCGAGTGGGTTGGGTTCGTGGATGCTCCGCCACGCTCGTGTACGTCTGTGGCATACGCAAGCGAGGGCGACAGAGGGAAGCATCCGACAATCAAGGGGTAATGGGCGTATTGGACTTGCCTAAGCGGTTGTAAGACATGACGGCGGAAGTTTATGCGCACTCAAAGGGCGCTCTGCAATCGTCGGCAAAAGGGTCGCAAGTTTGGGGTGCGCAAGTGGTTGCGCGGGCGGTTGCCCGGGTTTCTGAAACAAGGGGGGCCTGGGGGGGAGATTGTCCGTGTTTGATCGAGAGTGAGTGACGTCGCGCGAAGCTCGGGGCTCGGCACCAACCGGCGGGGGAGAAGCGGGTTGGTTGCTTGTGCGATGGAGGAGGTGGTGAGGTTGGTTGTTAAAGATGAAGCTCAAAAATTGATGCTTTGGCCCTACAGTGATGGACTTTAGTGGTTGTCGTGAAGCAGCTGACAGTGTTTACCTACATGTCCGTCGGGGCGTTGTCGGGGGAGTGGGGGGAGGGGGCTAGGGTGGCAGCTGAATGCGTCGATGCGGCCGGAATGCACTCAACGGCTACCTAATTAATTATTAGGTATGAATGTCTGTGATTCAGAGAGGCCGGTAACAGAGCAAGAGAGAAAAAAGAGGAGGAGGAGAAAAAATCAGTCAGCTTCACAGGGCAGTCATCATGAGAAGTAGTAATGCCTTCCTCAGCCCGATTCCTTTGACTGTCAGCCGAGCCCCAGCTAGATCCATCCTAGTTCCCTTCAAAGCCTAGCCCCAGGCCGAGCCCCCGCCAAATATCCAGCCCAGATGGGTCTGGACAAGCCATGTTATCCAGCTCTGGTGCCGGCGAGCCTTGTCGCCAGCCTCTTTGCAGTCTGCCAGGCCCTAGTGGAACTCAGGCAAGGCGTTCTGGTCCCCTCTCACTGCTCGCTTCCCTTCCTTTGATGCAGCTTATCCGTCGGTCTATGTGAGGGAAGACCGAATGGACCTATCACAGTTTGCTGACTTTCTGACTGGCTTCCGTAGCCAACCCTTACACCCCCTGCTTGCAGAATCCTCTTCTGCTTGCAACTGCCAGACGAGATGTTGACGTTGTCGGGCTTTATCTCACGGACGGATACCAAGAGGCCCTGATCAGCACGAGACCAAAAATAAAAATAATCTCAGCCGTCAATAGTCCGCCACAATTGCGTCTCCGGGTTGGTGTGCCATTGTGTTACTGCGCCACAGCATCTTATTCGGCTCGCCTCTGTTCCGCGTGTAGGGCAGCTGGCGCGTGGCATTGGATGGCATGGCACAGTTTGCGAGCGGTTTTCGCATACCCTTTGCCTCACCCCGTCATTTTCGCATCCGTTGCTCTGGCGCTGGTGGGCATTTCCGCGTATCATGTAGGCTATCGCCCTGCTGTCGCTTGTATGTGGATCACCCTGCCCGTCATACTCTGTTGGTCCTCATTTCATCTCCCGCCAGCCAACATGCAGAAACGCCCACTGCAGGCGCCCAAGATGAAGGGAAAGTGCAGAAAGGCCAACAAATGAATCAGTATCCATAAATAGGCGGTCTTGTTCATCCCGTCCTGGGGAAACACAAGGCCAGGTACCATGATCAGCCCTTTGGCTGCTGCACGGGCTTCTTTCGTTGCTTATTCCCGCGACCGCC